TCTTTCTCAAGAAAAATCAAATCAAATCAATGTAAATATTCGTTTAAGTCACTAGCTTCTACCAGAAACATCTTTTCCTACATGTTAAAAGGGGGAAAAAAGCTGTACTCTGTTGAATTTAAATGTTCCCCAAAAGGGGGGTGGGAACCAATTTAAGAAGAATCTCAAATCTGGGAAGATCCAAGCTGCTTCTAACCGTTTGCAAAAGGTAGAATTCCATTGAGAAAACAGGTAAATATTCGTTTAAGTCACTAGCTTCTACCAGAAACATCTTTTCCTACATGTTAAAAGGGGGAAAAAAGCTGTACTCTGTTGAATTTAAATGTTCCCCAAAAGGGGGGTGGGAACCAATTTAAGAAGAATCTCAAATCTGGGAAGATCCAAGCTGCTTCTAACCGTTTGCAAAAGGTAGAATTCCATTGAGAAAACAGCCAGACTGAGAAGGTGGAGTAATACTACAATCACTCAATAGACACTTGCTCACTTGTGCATGACAGGGGAACAGGATCATAAACGTTGTAAAAATAATAGTCTGTTTTGTGAAAGGAGAGAGAAAAACGGCAACATGCTCCATGTGACAGAGGGGAAAGTCTGGGAGGGCCTGAGAGACTCTGTAGATAACAAATAACAGGAGATTATCTTGGAGAGATTTAGAACATTAATTAAAGGTCCTCATCCTGGCAGCAAGAAAAATTAGCTACAGGCGCAGCTTTAACTCCAGAGTTCGGGGAGGAGGGCGGCCCAGGGCGTGAGCGTCTAGAAGAGTGAAGAGAACTAGGGGCCGGTGACGGTGACGAACAGTTGCTCGCAGGGCATCGGCTGGGCGGCAGGCATGTGCCCAGTGCTCACCTGCCATTTCGTTTACGTCTCTGACTCATCCCCGAGGACACTGTTACTCATGTCCTACCATTGAGAAAACCAGGAGCAGACAGGCTGTGAGATGCTGCAAGGTCTCCGTTGGCTCTTAACCTCGGTTTGGAAAGCCCTGGACCATCCTTCTGGGAACATCGCTTCAGTGTCTCCTTCACAGCCGTTCCATATGTTCTTAACCCATTCTATAGAGGGGGTGTTGAGAAGTTTATGAAAAATGTGTATGAGGAAAACACTATGCATGGATTGCAGACATTTTTTGCACCAATATACTCTTTTTTATTTCCACTTTCCAGGAAGTATTTGAAGTCCCCTTCTATGTGCATCTTGTACATACCTTTCCAGGTCCAGCCAGAGCCACCGAGGGGGCATTTGGGTCATACAGCAGCCCTCCCTGTGCAGCAGTTCATCGCTGCCTGTTCTGCCCAAAGAAGGATCCAACTCCCATTAAGGCAGTATTCATGCGAAGAAAATCGCATGTCCTCAAAACAATATTACTCAGCCTGTGGATTAAAAGTTGACGATAAAACCTTGCCAATATTACTTTGAATTCACAGAGAGCCTTTTATCTGAAAGGGCTTTGTAGTTAAGAGATGAGTGATTGTCCAGATTTTTAGCAAGTTCTCTGAGTAGAGAGAAAATAAATTATTGTATGGATTTCCATAGCATATTTTTTGTGCAATGTATTTACAGGAATTCCTACCTTTCATGCCGTACCTTTCTAACTCTTCAAGTAAGGTTTAAAGTCATTCTTTCAGTTGATAGTTTGGTAATGTGGTTTTGCACATGTTAAGTTTTTATAAATTAATAAAAATAACAACAACTACTGTTTGTATAGTACTTTTTATAGTTCTCTTTCTCAAGCAGATAAGAATATTGTCTTGGGTCAGCTGGTGGTTAAGGTGGCTGGACCCCACATGGCCAACTGTGTGGTTCAAATCCAGACGGGAGACTTGAGAAACACTCCCAGCACACGTGTGCATGCTCAAAATCCCAAAAGGAAAAATGGAGGAGGAGGGATTGGAGCATAACCATCCCCCATTGGGAGCGGTGGATGGGGCTGGATTTTCTAACTTTCCTTGTCTCTCTGCCTCTTTCCAGCAAACACGTGCCCTCTAGCAAATTAAAAATAAAAAAAGTTTCATTTTTCAGATGGAAAAGGTGAAATGGAACACTTTGGGGATATACCCAGTGCTGTGGTTTGAATGAGATTTTAATCCTACCAAAATTCATGTCAAGGCTTGGTCTTGGTGTGGCCACGTGCAACCTTTGAAAGGTGGGGCCTACCGGGAGGTATTTGAGTCTGCTGGGCTCAGCCCTCCTGGGTGGATGGGCGCTGACTGTGGGAAAGAATTAGCTACTGTGAGAGTGGGTTAGTTACCATGAGAGTGGGTTTTCTATTTTTTTTTTTTTTTTGAGAAGTTTTTGCTATAGGGCGCATGCGCTCGCCAGACAGACAGAGAGTGACAGAGAGATAGAAAGCGAGAAATCACCCCCCAGGGGGGATGGTCACGCCGCAATCCCTTCTCCTCCATTCTCTTCTCGGGATCTTGGGCACGCACGCACACGCGTCCAGCGTGAGTTTTAAACCACTGGGTTCAGGACGCGAACCGCGGTCGACTATGTGGGAGTCCAGCGACATAGCCATTACGCTAACTGCTGGTCCCGAGAGTGGGTTTTCTAGTTTTTCATTTTCATTTACACGTAATCATATACATCTCTCCAGTGTGCAGCATTGCTCTTTCCAGCATGAACACCATGAATATCAGTCAAGACAAAGACATTACTATATTATCATCGGCAAATTGCTTTTCATTTTTTTTGTCAA